TTTGATGGTGGGGGGGTGGGGTGTGTGCAGGGAGGAGAATCATGCACAGCAAGTAAAATGAACACTTCCCATTTGGTTTCTTGTTATTAGAAAGGAGCTGATTATGTTCCCCTTTGTCCCTGAGGACCACCAAACCTACCATGTGGTAATGTTATGTTTGCACCATCAATGATTGCTTGTGCCAGTTCATGATCATTGCTCTCAAAAGCATGTGCTGCAGCCTTCAAGGCATCCCAAATCTCTTTACGGCCTTCAAAAGCTGGTGCAGTATCCCAAAATTCATCCCTCTTGCTGCGCAGTTGTCCATCTGTCATGGGATAATCACTTTTCCATTTGGGTTTCTCCTTTTTCAAAGGCTGGTTACGACCTAAAGCGACTGAGAAGAAAAATAAAAAGCTGATATGAAAACCAAAATTTATAAACAATGTATTAAAAGTGATCTGGTCAGTTCTCTTTGATTCACTCATCAAAATTATAGCTACAAGTTTGCCTAGTAGTCATTCTTTTTTTTTTTTTTAGTTTATTCATTTATTTTGAGAAAAACAGAGCGTGAGTGGGGACGGGCAGAGAGTGAGAGAATCTCAAGCAGGTTCTGAGCAGTCAGGGCAGAGCCTGACACAGACTGAACTCCTGAAACCATGAGATCAAGACCTGAGCTGCTATCAATAACCAAATGAGCACCCAGGTGCCCCGCCTACTAGTTAATTCTTGCATTCTGAAATCTCCCTATTTAAAATTTTTTTAATGTTTTTTATTTATTTTTGAGAGACAGAGACAGGCGGAGCATGCGTGGGGGAGGGGCAGAGAGCAAACAGGAGACACGGGAGACACGGAATCCGAAGCAGGCTCCAGGCTCTGAGCTGTCAGCATACAGCCCGACACAGGGCTCAAACTCATGAACCGCAAGATCAGGACCTGAGCCAAAGTTGGATGCCTAACCGACTGAGCCACCCAGGGGCCCCTGAAATTTCCCTATTTTAGAACTACAAGAGCAAATGAGGACATTAGAAGGTTCTATCCAAAGTGTCCATTGACAAGTTAGTCATTCTTTTCAACTCAGTTATGCCTTCTCCCCAGGATGACTTTAAAAATTACCCAGAAAAAATAGCAATAAGGGTTTCATCAAACAATAACGGCAGTATTTTAAAAAGTCAAAGGATGACATAAAGAGAGGTAAGATATTAGGAAAAATGAAGTAGCAACATTAGCTGGACTCTCAGGACTCTGGACATATGAAGCCAAAAAGTAGGAACTGAGAAATCCCCAAGAAGGGAAAGACTGCTTTGTGGTGTCCAAAGAACAGTCAAACCACCGGCTCCATATGAAGAAACCTAATCATAGGAGCATCCCCTGCACTTCAGTCAAGAAAGTGTAAATACTTTTCTCTGAAACCTATACAGGAGCTTATTTTGAAAGTAGTGAGGGAGAAGGTCAGAAATCAGGGCTTCACTCTTTGGAGAAAATAGGACTGAACAGGTGATCCTTGATAATGAACCAAGAGAGAAACTCCTGACTACAAGGAGCAGAAAAAAGCGGGCAAGAGTCCACTCCTCTGTTGCTGTAAAAGGCATCATAGCTCCTTAGAGAACGTCACATAGTAGTAGAGCTAGAACAAGTGTGATGTAAGTTTTTTGCACCCAGACACTTACCTGGCCTAGGATCACTGATCTCACACTGACATACAGAGCCATTCTTAATCTTATATGGAGCCATAGGTAAGAAATAGTTTGACAGATGGAAAAATAAGTAAAAAGAAAACTGAAGCTTGATGGAGTCTTGGGTAAGAGTGGGTGGAAAGTAAATGACAGTGGTGGGAAGGAGAGGGTGTACATCAAAATTCAATGTTCTATATTTAAGAGCAGAAAGAATACTAATTTAAAAGAAATTATTCTCAAAATGGTTCTAAAGAGGCCATGAAATTAACCACTCCCTTACTGGCCCAGAGCCAAATAAATTTGAGCTATTCATAACTCCAGTCCCTGGGCAATCTCTATACCCTATACCAAGCTATGTTCCTGATGACAGAACTAATACTGCCAAATGTGTCTGGTTTGACACTTGGATTAAACCATGCTCTCTCCCTCCAAACTGGCCATTTTGTCTCAAGGCGGCAAACATGAGATCTCATCTTCTACCTTCAGAACAGCACATCATGTCACTGCCAGCTGTTTTCTCTTAAAACATTCAGTGTTTTGACTCCTTGTACTTTTTGGCTCTGTAACTTATGCTAGTAAAATGCCAACCAGTTGAGTTCTAAAAGGGTATGAACAGCAGAGTAGGAAAACTGTCTATTTAGTAGCAAAGCTAGAAATAGAATCCAAGTCTCTTTATTTAACAGGTATTTACTGAACGTCCACTAAGGGTAACACTATAGGTGGGTGTATCTGGTTTAATTCAAATGTGAGGAACACAATCTATACTAAAGATTTTCCCTTGCATCCTCCAAATAATAAATGTATACAGAGCATTATTCTCTAAAAGGTGTTCACAATATGTCAGATAATCGCAATCTACTGGTTCTACCAAAAGGTAAAATGAAAGGCAAAATTTATTTTCTGCTGTATTAGCCTTTAAAGTCAGAAATAACTTAGGGACAACACTATTAGTTTACTGAACAGACAGTAGAGGGCAGGATACAATAGGTAAATACCGCCCTCCCCCCCCCTTTTTTTTTAAGTAGTCTTCATGCCCAGCACGGAGCCCAAAGTAGGGCTTGAACTCAGGACCCTGAGATCAAGACCTGAGCTGAGATCAAGAGTCAGATGCTTGAGGCGCCTGGGTGGCGCAGTCGGTTAAGCGTCCGACTTCAGCCAGGTCACGATCTCGCGGTCCGTGAGTTCGAGCCCCGCGTCGGGCTCTGGGCTGATGGCTCAGAGCCTGGAGCCTGTTTCCGATTCTGTGTCTCCCTCTCTCTCTGCCCCTCCCCCGTTCATGCTCTGTCTCTCTCTGTCCCAAAAATAAATAAAAAACGTTGAAAAAAAAATTAAAAAAAAAAAAAAAGAGTCAGATGCTTGGGCACCTGGGTGTCTGAGTCAGTTAAGTGTCCAACTCTTGATTTCAGCTGGGCTTTGATTGTGATCTCATGGTTCATGAGTTCAAGCCTCATATTGGACTCTGTGCTGAGAGCATGGAGCCTGTTTGGGTTTCTCTCTCTGTCCCTCCCTGCTCATGTGCTCTCTCAAAATAAATAAATAAAACCTAACAACAACAAAAAGAGAAACTCAGTGGATGAGCCACCCAGGCACCCTGGTAAATGCTTATTTGAATAGGTATCTATTCAACATTGAATTAGTATCTATGATTCAAAGTTATCTATTCAATAATCAAATAAGATACCCATTTGAATAAAGTTTTGAGTCTTCCTGAGTAGTTCCAGAGAACTGTCTAGCCTCACATATATCAAACATATCAGAGAGATAACTAGTTGTAATTCTGTCATTGTGAGAGAATTGCAAAGCAAAGGCAGAAACAACAAAACCTGAACAATCTCAGTACCTACACCCAAGAAACCTAAAGAGGCCCTCAGAGGGAACAAAAAGAAAAACAACAGAGATAGAAAATACTTTGGAAAAAGTAAAAGCCCCTTCCCTACAAATATGAGGTAGATTTTACCTCCCTCCAAATAGAAAAGTTTTAAGAACTCCCATAAAAAAGACGTGATGCATTATGCTTCTTAAGGATAATCATTCCAAATCCATTTCAAATCTATATGCTGTAAAGTTCCAAAGTAATTGCTTTATGTAAAAGCAAGTAAGACAAAATAAATGCTTGTGACATCAAGTAAGCCTCCTTTTCTCTGTCTAGGTCTCTGTTTTTCTCCGTATCACAAACATATGTAATAAAGAATGTCTTTCTATTAAATGTCCATTATTAAAATACTTAAGCCTTTACAAATTATTTTAGTGCAACCATTGAGCAGTGATTTTTCACTAAAAAATATGAGGTTAAAAGCTTCATCATTTTAAACTAAATGCAGTTTGTTGCCTAACTTACCTTTGTTAAATAAACTGGAGAAAAAATGGATATTTAGCAATTAATATTTAGCATAATTTAGCATTTAAAGTATGCTCTTATGAAAACATGAAAATATTTAGGGTTTTATGAGGATTTTAATATCTGTAAAGCACTAATAAAAATCATTAGTATATAATAAATTACAAATAAGTGTTTGCTAAGTAAAAATAAATTTGGGACCGCTATATAAAATAAAAAACCTTAAGACATTTTTGCAAAAATACACAGGCTAAGTCTTTTTTCTTTTCATACCTTCTGAATAGAACCTGACATTCTGAGAATTTGACATCAAGTACCTCCCTTAATTTTGAAAAGAAATGTTCTATGACTGTCACGCTCTTCCTATGTGTTCATCGGAGTATTTTTTTAGGAATTGGTCATCAAATGTGCTATGATTTTAGCCAATACTATAAACCTTTATTTCTGAAAATACCTGGACACAGAAATGAGTCTCGCAGCTAAGAAGCTGTTTTTTTTTGAACCAAGTCAACCATTTTCAATTATGAAGGGAAAGATGTAAACTATGTATACTTAATTAGATTACATCTTATGCTCTGAAACTTTCAGATTTACCTGTTTCACACATCAATCTGACTCCTGATACCGAGAGAGATGCTCATTATCATTCATGTATCTGGGACTAAGTACAGTATTATGCTCTAACAATGAATTTAAAGACAGGACACAGTTCTTATTCCCTAAATTTCTGATTTAAATTACAGGCAATCAACCACATTAAGTTTATTCCATGGTTTAACATACAACAAAAGATTAATGAAGAAATCTAATTTTATTATTTCAGAAAATACACTTCTTTCCCCCATCAATCCACAGTTACTTTTTAAAACTTTGCCAAAAACTCACCTTCTGAGAAGCCTCTTTAAAAAAAAA